AAAATGTTTTGAGAATGATGTACAAATGCGCTTTACACAATTGATGTGTGTATGGATTGCGATAACAGTTGTATGAGCCCCTAATAAAATGTTTTTTTAAAAAAGAAGAAAAAAAAAAAAATCCCTCACTAGCAGGGGTCCTCCATACCACCAGGGGGCCCCTGCCTTTCTCACGGGTCTGGATGTTGAGTTGCGAGGCCCGCAAGCTCGATCCATCCACTGCTCCAGGCCCCGGAAGTTACGAAAACCACGTCATTAACTTCCTGGAATACCCGGAAGTTCTGGGAAGCGTCCGGTTGGGTTTGGTTACGGGCGCTGGGGCCTTGTAGAGACTCGTGTCTGCAGGCCCGGAGCAAAGTCAGCGTAGTCTCTCGCTGCTCGGACTGCGGCCCGATGTCGGTTGCGCGCTGGAGCCCCCGGAGCGGGGCGGGACCATGAGCTTGCTCTCCAGCCTCGCGGCCGCCCCACGGGCGCCGGCGCAGTGCAGCCAAACCAGGATGAAAAGGCCTCCGAAGAGGAGCCAGAGCGAGAAGTACCGGCTGAAGTATCTGCGGCTGCGCAAGGCGGCCAAAGCCACGGTGTTTGTGAGTGTGACCAGAGGCCAACACCCTCGTGGAATCGTTTAGCATAGTAATTCACCTGCGTGCTTATGCTTGGGCTGCTTCCCCGCAAGCTCTGCGGTTCTAAACCACCAGCCGCGCCTCGGGAGAAAGACGGGCCTCTACTCCCGTAGATGTACGGTCTCAGAAACGCACGGGGGCACTTCTGCCCTACCCTATGGGGACGCCATTAGTTGGCACCGACTCTGTGGCAGTGAGTTTGGTTTGGGGTTTTGGCCCTCGGATACACTAGTAATTTCTGAATTCCTCTAATTTACTTATTCTTGAGCTAATCCAGCAAATCCACTGCCTTCTAGTCAATTCCCATGCATAGCGACCCGATCGGGGAGGGTAGAAATGCTCCGTAGAGTTGGTTTCCGAGGCTTTATATGTGTACTGGAGAAGGCAACCTCGTCTTTACCCCGAGAACAGTTCAGCGCTTAACCCACTGTGCCACCAACCCAGTAACTCACCCTA